TGCTGGGGCATGAGGGTGATGCTTAATGAGGCCAGGGCATTTTGATCCAGCCTGGCATCAGCTTGAGAAGACACAGGGAGGAGACAAAGTGTGGGGCACATGAGGCAAAGGAGAATTTTCTCCACTCCAAGGCAACAGACCCTGCCCTCCACTGGAGTTTGCTGTACTGGGGGTGGTGGTGGTGGTACTCACATCACATTCAGATTTCAGAAGGCCTTCTCCATCTTGCCGAGAAGGGGGGAATGCAAGAAACATTCAGGGGAGAATTGAGCTATAAGTTCTGAGCTCCTTCCCAAAGCAGAATATAGATCTGTTTCAGAAATGGTTGTTAGATGAATGAATGAATCACTTAATGATTCAATGTTGCTACTCTCAGGAGCCACACAGCTTGGTCCTGGGTCAAGGGGGCTGGGGGAAGATGACTGTAAATACCACTCCTGAGTCCCCCTGGTTTTACCCCAACCATGCAGGTGTACTGGCTGGGCACTGGCTGGTCTTCTGGGTTCTTCCCAGGCCTGAGCCTGGCATTTTGCTATCTCTTGGGTGCCTCTGGGGATGTGATAAAGCCAAGGCCCCACACCCCGTCTCCCATCCTCCTCTTCTTTGCTGCATCGCTTGTGGTCCCACTCTCCACCTTGCCACTGGGATCATGCAGAGACCAGACCAGAGAGTGGCCCTGGGCCTCAGTCCTCTCAACCTAATGGCAGCAGCAGAGAGGCTCCCAAGCCTGGAGCACAAACCCATGGCTTCCCACAAACACCAGTTTATTCTAACTTGAACCCCAGGAACAAAATGTGCATGAGCAATGGTGCACAAATGTGGGTGGGCACATGTGTGCGTGTCCAGGGTGGCTTCTCAGCCTCGGGATATCTAGTAGATACCAGGTTGTTCTTGGAGTTTGAAATTCAGTCCATCCGATCCCTTCACTGTATAGTTTATTTTGGTTAATAGGAGTTTTTATCTGAAAAGTGGGACATCAGAAATATGTGGGCAGACTTCATGACCACACAGGAGGAGAAATATCTGCTCATCGTGACCTCCTCCCCTCCACCACCACCCTGTGTTCTAGAACCTTCTCCCTATAGACAGCTCCTCTCCTTTCCTCACATGCTTTATTAGAAACAAAACAAGCATAAGATGCCCAGTGTCATTCATCATCAGGGAAATACAAATCAAAACCACACTCAGATACCACCTCATGCCAGTCAGAGTGGCTAAAATGAACAAATCAGGAGACTATAGATGCTGGAAGGATGTGGAGAAATGGGAACCCTCTTGCACTGTTGGTGGGAATGCAAATTGGTGCAGCCACTCTGGAAAACAGTGTGGAGGTTCCTCACAAAATTAAAAATAGACCTACCCTATGACCCAGCAATAGCACTGCTAGGAATTTACCCAAGGGATACAGGAGTGCTGATGCATAGGGGCACTTTTACCCCAATGTTTATAGCAGCACTCTCAACAATAGCCAAATTATGGAAAGAGCCTAAATGTCCATCAACTGACAAATGGATAAAGAAGATGTGGTTTTTATATACAATGGAATACTACTTGGCAATGAGAAAGAATGAAATCTGGCCATTTGCAGCAACGTGGATGGAACTGGAGGGTATTATGCTGAGTGAAATAAGTCAGTCAGAGAAAGACAGATACTCTATGTTTTCACTCATATGTGGATCTTGAGAAACTTAACAGAAGACCATGGGGGAGGGGAAAGAAAAAAAAAGTTAGGGAGGGAGGCAAACCATAAGAGACTCTTGGATACTGAGAACAAACTGAGGGTTGATGGGAGGTGGGGGAGAGGAGAAAGTGGGTGATGGGCATTGAGGAGGGCACCTGTTGGGATGAGCACTGGGTGTTGTATGGAGACCAATTTGACAATATATTCTAAAAAAAATCTAGGAGACTATTTTGAAAGATAAAATTATATGCGTTATAGCAAATTATTTATAATATGAAGGACTGCCCCCCCACCGCCACCAAAAAAAAAAAAGAAACAAAATAAGCAGAAGACATTGTTGATGACACAGAGATTTTTTTCATTGTCTGGGACACACCCCCCCCCACCTGTCCTTCCCTGCCGTGCCAGCATGTGGCTCAGCTACCACAGCAGGCCACACTCTCTGACACACCTTTGTACCTTTTGCTTCTTTTTTCTTGTAGCCTTGCAACAACCTTCTGATCATGGTATTATTATCCTACTTTGTGGGTGAGAAGATGAAGGCTCAGAGAAGTCCAGCGGGTTGTCTGCAGCACTCAGCCAGCACCCAGTAGGAGTGGGATGAGAACCTCTGTCTCCCGACCCACCCAAGTGTGTGCTCTCAACCAGCATTCTCTCTCAACCAGCAGACAACTCCAGGGCAAATGCAGTGTCTACATTTCCTCTGGGCCACAGAGCTGTCTGGGAGGAAGCCTGCTTCTCCCCCTCTGTCCACTCTCCACACTCCAGAAGCATTCAGCCTGAGCTGCTGAGTGTGGCAGGTGCTTATGAAATGGCTCTGACACCCCAGGAGCCCTCAGAGGGGCCAGCCTGTGGGTGTCTAGGGAATCCAGAGCCTCCACATGACCCCCCACCTCCGGAAGGGCTCCTTCTGCCCCAGGACCACTGGCTCCCCCTCAGTGAATGGCCCCAGAACCCTGACTCCCAGCTGTCAGCACCAGCAATCCTCACTTAGGAGCTAAGCCCTGGCACTTCCCAGGACTGCACGGGGCCAAGATTCCCTTCCAGAGAAATACTTCATCTGTCTTCCAGCCTGGGGCCTGTCCCCTGTCCAGTGTCTTCATAATTCAGATTCCTGTAACTACGAAGAGGCTGGCACCCATGAGCAGGACTCTTTCCAGCTGAGTTCTATGAGACAGGTGATGCCTTTTCCATGAATACCAGGCTCTCTACTCCCTTTGGGCCTTACAGGATTAGAAGGATCCCCCCCACACACCAAATTCTAGTGGCCTCTGATCCAACCCAGATACTCCAAGAGTCATCTGTGATGGAGCACTTGGCTTTCCATCCCTGGGGTAGGGTCAAAGATTGGGGACAAGAGTCTGGAGCTGGACAGAAAGAGAACAAAGGAACGTTGGCACAAATGAAGGAGGTGGGGATCCTACACTTATGGGGGCATCTCATTTTAGACAGGGTTACTCTCTCAAATCAGTGCACAAGGGAAGACCGTGCACAGTCACGATCCCCTTGATGCCTCCTTCTGAAGCTACCACCACGTTGGAGATCTGCCAGACTCTCATTAATGTTGCCAGCAGATGGGACTTTGGCTAAGCGTGCACCCAGGTGACTACCCCTAAACCAACATGATGTGATTCCACGGTGCTCTGCTAAGCATTTCCACGCCTGGCTGTGTCTCGTTGGGCAGAGCAGCAGGCCCCAGGGTGAACAACACTGAGAAGCTGGGAGCCCACTCCAGAGGCTTGAACCCCTGTGCACCTAGGCTACCTTCACGTCACTTTTTGGGAAGTTGCTCATTTTGAGGTGTTCCCTGTTGCTGTCTCCTCCCGACATCACCTCTGGAGACAGCCAGGCTTGGGGCCACTTTCTGGTACAGAACAATCAGGATTCTCCAGCACAGCCATAGTTTTAGGGCCTCTTCCCTCCCCACCCCTCCTGCACTGAGAGGTGTCACTTGGTAAGGGGGTAATAAATCCTTATACACTAGAGGCTGGTGTCTTTTTGCTGTTGAGGTGCGAGGGGTGAAAGGTGTGAGTCTCCAGTGTGACTGTAGCTGACAGAGCTACAGGCACACACCTGGGTGTGAGGTGGAGAGAAAGGCGGTGGGGGAAGGGGGTGCTTTCGATGGTGGGACAAAGTAGGGCCAGAAGCTGATGAGGCCAGAAAGGCTTCCTCTGAAAGAGCCAAGGGCACCCCGGGGCTAAGGAAGCTGTCCTTTAAAACAGCGAGGATCAGAGAGAGGGCACCAAATCGTGCCCAGGCTGCAATAATTAAAAAAGTCTTTCTTCAAATGACTGATGTTCCCTGAAAGTCCACAGGACGACGCAGGTGACTGATGTTTTGCAAATACCGATCCAGGTTTCCCACCCCCCCCCCCCCCCCAGCCGCTCTCTGAAAGTAGGGCCTTCCCACAGAACCTTTCTAAGTCTGGCGGAAAGCAAAGAAGAGATGACAGGTTCGTAAAAGCAAAAACCCTCTTCGAATTTCTTCAGGTTAGGAAAAATTTTTACAGGCCTTTGGTAAAAGTGAGGTGGCACAACATGGACTTTTGAAAAGCAGGGATCCTTATACCAGCATTTACAAATTCATTATTTACTGGGAAGCCTGGGTGGCTCAGTCAGTCAAGCACCCAACTTAGGCTCTGGCCTGATCTCAGGGTTTGTGAGTTCGAGCCCCACATTGGGCCCTCTGCTGTCAGAACAGAGCCTGCTTTGGATCCTCTATTCCCCTCTCTCTGTCCCTCGCCTGCTCACTCTCTCTCAAAATAAATAAAGAAAAACTTTTAAAAAATTCATTATTTATTATAACAAAGGCAGTGCAGTGATTGTTATGAGAAAGCCAACAGCCCAAGAAACAGATGACCAAGAAAGTGAAAGTCCCCCATAAGCCCACTGTGCTGGAAATAAACACTGTTAACAGTTAGGGTATTTGTACCAGGTTTTAGTCAACCAATTACTTGTATAGCAAAGGCATGCGCAGGAGGGGAAGCACGTGTTTTAAGCTGCCTCTCAGCTGTCTCTACCTGGAGAGCACCTTGGCAGGGTTCTCAAAGGCAAAGCACCTCTGTCCACCTGGTGGCACCACCTGCATTTCCTGGGAGGAGGGACCCAGCTCCAGGCTGCCTTCTAGTTCAGTAGGAGCCATCTCAGCCCCGCCTCCTCCCCCAGGCACCTCTCCCTGCCGACTGGTACCGCATCTGGGTCCTTTCCCAGGACTCCTTGGGGGCAGGCAACCCCTCCACGGCACCCCAAGTCCTGCCCTGTCCTCAAGGCTCAAGGATGGTCAGATTCTCAACCCCACTCTTGCTCATAAATGTCTCTGTCTGCTGTTCTCTAGTAGAAAGTGGGCTGGATTGGAGGTGAGAGCTGGGTGGGGAGAACACTAGAGTTCCTTGAACCCTCATGCCATCTAGAGCACTTAAATGTGTATAAGTTTTTCGCCATGAAGGTAAATGACTCACGGTTACGTGGCTCATTGGCTGGAGAGGTGGCGCTGAAAGCCAGTCCTAGCTGTTGGAGAATCTGGAGACTTCGCATGGGGTCCTCCCTGGTGTTATGGGGTGCACAGCCATGGGGAAGCTGCTTCACCTCCCTGGACCAAGTGTCCCCATCTGTAAAGCAAGGAGGCCGGTGCTCAGCTGTGACCGTTCTTCGGAAGCACCTCAGAGGCTTTAACAGTCTGATGTGTGGGCTCCGCCTGGGGATTCTGACTGAATCCGTGTGGGCTGGGGTCTGAGTGTGTTGCCTTCTGTGGCTCCCCTGCAGCACCATGGGTCCTCGGGGCTAGACTGCCCTTCACGGGTGTATGGGTATTGCTAACCCACATTTTATTCTCTCTCCCTGGCTCCCCAGACTCAAAGTACTCCTAAAAGGGTGTTAGACTCCAAAGGCTATGGGCTCACATCTCAGTTCTCTCACTTGGTGACCTCAGGCAGACTAGTTAACCTCTCTGTGCCTCGCCTTCTAGCCTGCAAAATGAGGAAGAAAATAGTGTGTGCCTCACAGGACCGTAGGGAGGATGAGATAATGTGTGCAAAGTGCCTCTCGGCAGGCCTGGCACTGTGGCTCAGTGGAATGACTTACTTCCATTCTCTCCGTAACTCTTAAGGTCTGAGGTCAAATGATCACCCTAAGTCTTGAATGTCCAAATAGACGGAAAGCAGGAAAAGGTCCCGAGGGAAGGCAGGAACACCTGGGGGAGATGAACCCATTCTTTAGCTGCTCAGGGAGTTGCTTCTGTGACCTTACTTGTCCCGGAGATGCCCAGACACAGGGCCCGCTGTATAACCAGGATATGGGCTACCCAGCCACCCAACCTTTGGCAGAAGCTGGAAGAGTTGCATCTTCAAGATCCAAAGAAGTCCCTTAGCATCTGAGCTCCTCATCGTGGCAGTGGGCACCTCCTCGATGTCTGCCCCCCAGCAAAGCTCTCCTGGCCACCCCCTTCCCCCACACCCTGCCCTTTTTTTCTCCCAAGGGTTGAGATGTGACTCACTGTTTGTTGTGACTCTGCGGTTGAGCTTTCCAAGGTTTGTCTGGGGGGAGGCCTGGTTCTTTCTTCAGGACTCACCCTGTAAAATATCTCTGGACTCAGCTCTGCCTGTTGCAGAAGGATCTCTGCCTCGAGAGAGCGAGGGAGCCCCGGGCACTGGAACCAGACACACCTGCTCTCCCTCCTTTTGCTTTACCACTTGTCAGCTCTGTGATCTCAGGCTTGTGGTTTTGCCTCTCGAGAGGAGTTTGAACACGGGTTAGCTTGTTTGACTCCGTTCTCCTCCTGTTGTGTTTGATCATGGCGCACGGTGACTTTCTCATGACTGGGAAAAAGAGCTGAGGAGGCAAAGGGGTCAGGACTGGAGTTTAATTTCTGGGCCTCCCAGCCCGGGACCTTGGAAATAGCAGGGCACACAGAGTCTGCAAGCCTGACTGCAGGCCCGGCCCAGTCACCAGCTGACTGCCACCTTGGGCAAATCAACAGCTTCTCTCCACCTCATTTACACAGCTGTGCTATAACGCAGTTAGTCTAAATCAGTCATTCCCAAAGTGAGCTAGTTGGTATACCAATTTTGCAAGCTGTTTCTCAAAAAAAAAAAAAAAAAAAAAAAAAGTCTCAAAGGTCAAATAAGTTTGAGGTATACTGTAAACTCCACTCCCCAATTAGCACATCGTAATATATATACATCAATCTGTTAAAGGTGCCGAGAGAACCAGTAACACAGAGGCCAGTTTGGTTTTATTCAACTCACTTTTTCCTAAACTCTTTTGACCATAAAATTTTTCAATCCTATTAACATCCTAGAGCACTGGTGATGGGAGAAAACCACATGAGAAATGATGGTTTAATCCAGAGCTGGGCTTCTCAAACTTGAAAGTTCATTCAAAACACCTTGTTGATCTGCTGATTCTAACTCAGCAGTTCTGGTGGGGCTAGAAGCCAGCAAGCTCCCAGGTGATACTTACCACCGAGTGAGTCCCAGAGGGCAGATTCCCAAGGATTTTTCAGCTTCAATATTGGAAACAGTGCAGAAATGGAGACTCAGGGACCTAGGACTCATAGAGACCTAGGTTAGGGTCCTGGCCCCACCACTTCGTGGCAAGGTGACCTTGAACAAATCTCTCTACCAAACAGAGCATTCGTTTTCTCATCTGTGAAGTTTCAAATAGTATCATCCTCATAGGATTGTTTGATGATTAAATAAGTCTTCTCAAATAAAACATGTAGTGCCAGACCTAACCCATGATAGGAGCTCACTATACACTGGCCGTCGTTCATTAAATAGAGTCTGTGTGTCTGTCCTGCTCCCACTCGTGGGCTGCTACCACGTTCACTTGCAAGGCTGCTTGCTGCCCCCGGACCTCTTTCCTCCCAGCATGATGGAACTGCCATCTCTTTTTATGGAGCTTTACATGACCGTTCTTCTCCAGCACATTCTAGTAACTTCTCCTGCTTCCAGGGCATCAGAGGAGCTGAGAGACAATGGTTCTCCTCTGGTGATCCCAGACAGATTGTGCCAGCAGCCCTAGGGTTGGCACAACCCACATTTTTCCTGGCCCTGTTGCAAGGGGTCCTCATTGATGGGTGAAGCGTGATCTCACCACATTATCCATGGGCCCTGCTGACTGTCTGGAGTTTGTATGTCACACGCGGAGACTGCGGGAGTATAACCTTATCATACTCACCATGGTGTCCCTTATAAGTGCTTTTACAACTGAATCATATTCAAACCTTCCTATAAAATGTTCACGTGTGTCAGCAAGGCCTGTGTTTGGGCTCTATTAAGCTCTCTTCTTGTGTGTAGACAGTGGATTAAGACTACATCACCCTGGGGGGCGCCTGGGTGGCTCAGTCGGTTGAGCGTCTGACTTTGGCTCAGGTCATGATCTCACGTCTCGTGAGTTCGAGCCCCGCGTCGGGCTCTGTGCTGACAGCTCGGAGCCTGGAGCCTGTTTCAGATTCTGTGTCTCCCTCTCTCTCTCTGACCCTCCCCCGTTCATGCTCTGTCTCTGTCAGTCTCAAAAGTAAATAAACGTTAAAAAAAAAAAAAAAAAAGACTACATCACCCTGGCTGCCCAGATCTTGCCCCATCTTGGAAGCTGAGGAAGGAAGAGGCAAGGAGGATCACCATTTTTGATCGCCTTTCAGTGTTCGGCTCTTGATGTATATCCTCATTTAAGCTTTGCAGCAACTCTGAATGGTTCTGTTTTTATCAGGCTCAGAGAGGCTAAGTAATTTGCCCAGAGACACACAGCTAGTAAGTAGGGGAGCCTAGTAAGTAGGGGAGCTGAGATTAGAGTTCAGGATCATTTGATTTTATTTCCTCTATGCTTTTTCTGCTCCCAGTCTTGATGGCAGAGGATGATAGCCTATAGCTTCCAAGTTTTACCTGTTATTGGAACACCTGGAAAGAAAATAAATCCTCTCTCAAGTTAAGTTATATATCCGGACCAATGTAACCATAGTGACAGTGCTGTACTATACAACCATGGAAGCTGCTGTTCTGAGCATGTGGGCAGAAGTAGGGACAGAGGAGAGAAGGTGAGTCCATGCCTAGGACAGGGTGACAGGCAAGATCCACTCTAGTGGGCCAGCTTATGAAATACCCTGTGTTAGGGACAGTAACTGGAAAGGATGGCATTTCAAAGGCAGATGAGAAGGGAAACTTCAACTTGAGCAGATCCAGACACTGTGTGGGTCATCTTCCGAATCTGGCACAGGTCAGGACAGCCAGCTACTCTGCCTGCAGTGGCCTTGGTCTTCTCTGGCAGTCTATCTCCTTGGAGGGTCCCAGGAGTGGGATAAATCACATCTTCATTCTCTACCTCTGGTTTAGACCTATGTCATCCCTCCGTCTGGTCACGGAGACTGGTGCATGCAGAGGTGTGTTGAGTTGCCCACACACAGTTGCCCACATCTGGGAGCTTCTGGACTTCCGGATCCCTGCACTGCGTCACATACTTTATTTCTATGCCCTTTCATTTTTCCAGTGATGGAAGGGTGAGTGAGCATATGACCTGTGTCAGGCCCAGGTGAAAAACCGTTGAAACCAAGACTTTCTGGAATGTCCCTGGAGTTGCAGGGTAAACTAGATAAAGTGCAGGTTGTTTGTCAACCCTTCCTCCAGACTCCTGAAAATTGACTTGGAGAGCCTCTCTGACCTCCGCTGCCAATAGGTCCTTGAGAGGCACACACACTATTCAAAGCTGACAGCTCCCAACCTGACAATTGTCCTCTACACCGTGCAAATGTGGTATGCCTAATTAATAACCTGGGATGCCCTGTCTGCTCCACACTCAAGGAGCTCAGAGCCTTTTTCTCGGTAACCACTGCCAGCTGATTTTTAATTATCTTTCGGACTGTCGCCTTTTGGAGCTCTGGAAAGGAAGTGCTCACCCCAGCTGGGCTGGGGCCAGGCCTGTTGGAGAACAATGTCCTCCTCCGAGTCCATTCTGTTTATCTCTCAGCTGGCATGCCAGCCCTCAGACGGGACAGGACTGTGCTCCTGCAAACCAAGAAGGAGAGAGAGTCTGGTGCCTTGTCGGCACTTCTGTAGGCTGCAGAGCTGGCATGATTCAAGAAACCGACCTCTTTTTAAACTCTTAAAACTTTGCATCTGGGTAGGACTGCCTCACTGAACGAGACAGCTGAAATCTTCTATTGTTTTCTTAAATCAACACCTGTTTGTTTTTTCTTTAATGCATTGCCTCAGTCAAGCCTTGCAACCGTGCGAGGCAGCTACATTTGCTACCCCCATTTTACAGGAGAGGGGACTGAGGCTCAGAGAGGGTAAGCCCCCCTCTCCTGCCTGAGATTGCATAGTGGCAAGAAGAGAGTGCTGAGATTCAAACCCAGGCCGCCAGGCTCCTGAGCCTACCCTTTTGCAATGACCTCTTCCTCCATCCTTGGAATTGGGCGTATGCTCAGTTCTGTGGACCTGGAAACGGGTATGAGGAAAACACCTCAAACACCAAGCATCTGGTTTATAACTTTGACCTACTCTATCCCAGCAGCCTGTACGCACCTGCTGAATGCTGCTGAATAATGGAAGGGCTGTGTGGGGTCAAAGTGCCATATTCTCCCCACCGCAGTGAGGGTGAGGTCCAGGGACTCAGTAGACAGAGACAGATGTCTGTTTCCGGGAGGGGGTGGCTAAGCTCCTGGGATTACAGGTTCCTGCATGTTCTGTAGCCAGTTCCACTGGATGTTTTAGGAAAGAGATGGCTCATTCTGTCTTCACCTGAAGTTAAGAATCTGGGATGCTGCAGAGAGGGAAGGGGTGAGACACGGGGCAGGATGGGAACAAGGAACTCTAGACAGAAGACCTTCCTGCCTTCTGCTGTTTATTGTTTTTCCACTTCCCTGATCCCAGGGTCTGCAACCCTTCCCCCTTACTTTTTCTTTGACCTTCCTCTCTGGCATGTTTGAAGCCACAAAGCTGACAAGCCAGAGTTTTAAAGTAGCCCTGGGCCAGGTGTGGTAGGTTGAATTGAGTGGCCCCCCCCCCCCCGCCCCCCCACAAAGGATGCGTGCACATCCTAAGTCCTGGTACCTACGAATACAACCTTATTTGGAAATAGGGTCTTTGCAGGATGAATTAAGTCCCAGATTTCAGGAGTGGGCCCTAAATCCAATGATGGTATCCTTATGAAAGTGAGGAGAGGAAGATTTGAGACACAGAGACACACAGAGAGGAAGAGAGAGCGTGTGTCAACACCTATGAAGGGAGAGAGAGAGAAATTGGAGATGCGCCACCACATGCCAAGAGATGCCAGGAGTCAGCAGGAGCAAGAAGGGGCGAGGACGGATTCTCCTCTAGAGCCTTTGGAGGATACGTGGCCTGGCGATGACACCTTGATTTTGAACGTCTAGCCTCTAGAGCTGTGAGAGAATACATTTTTGTTGTTTTTAAGCCAGGCTGTTCATGGCAATTTGTTATGGCCGCCCTAGGAAACTAACACACCAGGGCCAGACTTTCTGTCATCACCTGGGTCCCTGTGGGGGGGCACCTGTAGAGCAGTGCCCACCCTCCGGGACAGAGACGTGCCGGCCGGGACTTTGAGTCTGACCATGGTGCCAGGCTCAGCCCACAGTCAGTTGTCTGGTTGCTGCAACTTCGAGGACAGGTACTGGGGTTAATGGCTGGAAAGTGGGTGCCTGAAAAAGCTGACCACAGTCAGAGCCGCCCTGGGAAACATTGGGCT